GGTAGGGAAACTCCTCCTGCTGTAGTATATTAACCCAAGTTTTGACCTCTAATCGATGTCTATTCAATGTATAGGATCTTCATAATAAACATAATGTAGAGCATATTTGTGTGAAAGTGTATCTACCACTAGCCATAAATTTGAGCCTTGCATTTTTCTCTGTAACATGTCAATATTTGTGACACTAACTAAACATACTTTATTCATTTGACAAGGATTGTTACATTATATTGAAAACTTTTGTTTCAATGTCACCACCTCCCAGTTTTGACTGATGGCGAGTTAGTTTTGTTAAAATGCACAGGGTGATAGCGTATGCTCCAGTGAACTTTCCCTCCTCTCAGCACCAGAGACAAAAACCTGCAGCTCTGCTCTGTGCTGGCAGCCATCTGGCCAGCTTTCTCTCAATGCCTGCCCCATACCACACTGCAGGCAAAATTTCAGGGCTCTAGAGCTCTGTGGAGCTATTCATGACATACCAATTTCACATTTTCTGCTTGTATGCTTGCAACAATAAATGCTAATGAGGACTATGAATGACATTTTTAAAGACAATAAAAAGGTCTCCAAATCCCTTGCATATGGAGACACTATTTTCTAAACTTCACCTTCTGTTAGGGAGCCATTACACTCTAAAGGAAAAAAATAACCTAAGGAGAACAATGAGATGATCAAAGCATAACCGAGTCCTTAAGAATTCCAAAGAAAACAATGTTTGCAAAGCTAGCTTAATGACAGACAGATTTTATGCTGATGTACAGCACTAACACTTAAGCATAGTAACTCTCTTTTTCAATAACACTGCTACTTCTCATCGACGGGCTCAGAACTGGGGAGGGGGGGGTCATAGCAAATCCTCCCTTTCACTGATCACATGTAACTCTACAAGCCACAGACTTGGACTCAGCAATTACTAATCTCTAGATGAGTCCAAGAATACTCTAAATAAGCCCCAGAATAAACTGTAATTACTAATGGATTTGGAATGCTACACTTTCATAGACATCTCTGTGCTGACAAAGTGTGGCCAAGACAAATATCAAATTATACTTTCCACAAATTTGCCTATTGCAATGCCATTGCTAAGAGAAAGAAACGAGAAAAGGGAAAAGAGAAAAAAAAGAAAAGAAAGAAAGAAAGGAAGGAAGGAAGGAAGGAAGGAAGGAAGGAAGGAAGGAAGAAAGAAAGAAAGAAAGAAAGAAAGAAAGAAAGAAAGAAAGAAAGAAAGAAAGAAAGAAGTTGCCTTTACTCTGAGAAATGCCTTTTATATTAAAGACAAATTCCCATTAGGAAGATTAAAAACACTTCCAGGAAAATCCACCAGGTGGAGCAAATACACAGCATTACAAAACATTTATTTATGCTCGTACTGCCATTTTCAACAGGGTGAAAATGGTTTATATGCAAATATTCTTACCTATTGACCTCCCTTCTTCACCCTTTTGTCATATATTGATCAACTTGTATTTATTTACTACATTTATAATGGTACAAAAACTTTTTTCAAAGGGGCCTTCACACAAAGCTATTGTTCCTGATGAGCTCAATATGAATTTGCAAACCACAACAGTCATCAGAAATATAAGGGAAATTAAAGTATTGTATTTTTCAACATTTTTTTTCAACAGTATAATGATGTGGTTGTGCTAGTAAAACAAACTGACCAGTTTTCAGAAAATAATGCTTATTCTCACATCAGTTAGCAAAATCTTTGCACTGGCCTCCACTGTAATAGGCTGGAAACCTGGCTATTCAGCATGTCTGGTTATGTTTTTATACACACAGTAGTGCCCATAACATCACAGCACTGCCATTGGACAGCATGGTGTTGTTTACTATTAATGCTTTATTTTAGGATGACATCTGTCAACTACTGAGTAATTTCAAGAGGGCAAGTCAATGAGGATTGTAAATAAATGTTTCAGCATATCTAGGACAGCTAAGTATTATTTCCCCATTTAAATTATTTGCTTTCCAGAGCCAGGTGAGAAAGTCACCTTAAAATCAAGTATTTTCTGTTTCCCTAATGCATCAGAGGCAGGAGGGGCAGATTTTTACATGAAGAGAACTAAGTCCAAACAGAACAGTGGTTCTTTTATGGATGAGTTTTCTCACAGTTATAATAGGACAACCCACTGGCAGACACTGTAATTGTTAAAATGCCAGGCAGTATTACGAAATGAACTGCTCTAATGCAGTTCAGCATCTGGAAACACACCAGAATCAGTACACAAACTCATTCAACCCTTGATGATAGAAAGGCATTATCGTTTGTAAGTGACAAAAGGAAGGTGCTGATTTTAGTCAAATATTTTTCTTCCCATTGTTTCCTTAGTTATACCTTCCATCCCATTTTTCTCTCACTTTTCTAATCACTGTCCTCTGTTTTCTCTCGGGCACCAGATCTACTCCTAAATTCATGAGTCTGGGGCCACCTTCTCACTCTACTACACATCTCTCTTCTCCAACTCACTACAGGACCTGCCTCTGCTCCAGCTGCCTTGGACAGTTATCCTCTCCCACCTCCACAAACCTTGACAGCTAAAAGAAGATCCAGAATTCCAAGGTGTGAGTAAAATATTACCCTCGTACCCTCAATTAGCACACAAATTGAATAGCAACAATCAGCACTCTAACACTGTGGGGGAAAAACACCTGTGCCAGTTAGGTTTCCATTACAAAACTAAGCTAGAATGGTATTCACTTAAAGTGCTATTGAAGGAGCACATCAAGCTCGCTGCAAGCACCATGTGTTGTCCTAATCTCTGTGCTTCTAGTCTGACCCAGATGAATCCCATCATAGCTAAAAAAATTAAAATACAAAATATTTGTTTATTTAGGAACTGGGAGGATCTTTGAGGAACACAGGCCTCTAAATATAATTTCACTCTATCTAATGGTTTTGTACTCCACATGGTGCTTCATTGTAGCCATTCAGAAGAGAAGCAGAAAAAGACAGAAGTGATTATGAAGTGGAATTTCATACCAAGAACAAATTACACCACTTTACACTAGAAGAATATCTGCAAAGAGAAGCAGTAAATGTTTGGGCATAATGCAAGATGCCAGTTTTAATAAAGCCCAAACCATCTTGGGATCTATTATGTGCAAGAACTTTCCTTAAGCAAGATTATCACAGCAGAGGCTTTTGGAGATGGCCAAGATAAATATTTTTTCAAAGAGAATGCTGATTTAAAACCATTATCACCAAGGAATTTTTGAGTGGCAACCCTGGTGTAAAGGCTGTTATTTTCAAAGAGGCTCTAGACACCCAATGGGTAGGAGGAAAGACAATGTGGTTGTTGTCACCACACATCCATGGAGAACTTTTCATTTAATGGACTGCTGGTTGAGGCAGGCAATAGTTGGCTAAAGGTCATGGACAGTTCACTGGATTATGAACTCTTAAAAAAAAAATAAAAGGCAATTAAAACACTAGAAAAGAGGGACACAACTTAGATAACCTGTAAAGGTTCAACTAACAGACAGTGCTTTCATAGAGACACATAATTTTCCTCATATATACAAACCCTGAACATATGTAATGTTCCATTCAAGAACACGAGACTGACCGCAATTCATAAACCATCTTTTTTTTCATCTTACAAATACATTCAATGCTTATTTAAATTATGGCTTCTTTACAATGTGACAGGACAGACATTTAAAACTACATGTCTAAGTAATCCACTTTTACTTAAAGGCACCTTTACACCAGAGTAACCAAGGGAGTTTATACTGAAGAAAGGGGCTGATTCTAAAGATGAAGGATTATTGTACATATTTAAGAGTTCATTAGAACACCATTATCAATCTGATAACACTGTTACAGCTCTTTTGTTGCACCATCTCCTGAAAATGCTTTTCAGATGGGGGATTAGTGGCACAATAGATGACAATGACTCTGGACCACCTGCACTGTAGCTGACTCCTTCTGTGACAGCATATGCACACTGAAAGCTACCTTCCTCACTCAAGGGTCCCCAAAATCCTTACCTGCAATGTTTGCATGCAAGAAGAAAAGTATGCCTTTACATTTGTATTACAATTTTCCAATTAAAGATTAGCAGGGAAAATCTAACTGCTCAAAAGATTTCAATCTCGCGTACGAAGCACCCAAAATCTCTAGCACATTAATATGTATGCTGAGCCTGTGGGTATAACTCTACAGAATGGACCAAAAGCCTTCAGCATGAAAGGAAATGAAACTTTAGTTAATTTCCAGCTCTCCATCTCTCCTCCTGCAACCACAAGTATCTTTCTTGGACTAGCTTCTGCCCACAACAATAAAAGGCAATAGTCACATGCTACACTCACTTCTGCTGAAGCCCTTATTAATTATGCTGCCTCCCTCTACTACTTGTACCCAGTGATTTTAAGTTCTACCAGCACAACTATTAACACCACTATGTTATGAAGTACCGAGATTGTACAAATAAGTGTAATATTCTTCAGTCATCATTCAAACAAGAAGTCGTACTTTAATTCTTCACACATACACATTAAAAAAGCCAAAACAAAACCAAACCAAAAACAAACTAACAAAACAAAAGCAGACAAAAAACTAAATCAAACCAAACCAAACCAAACAAATAAACAAACCCCAAAACAACCAAACACCTATCCAAGCCCTTTGCCCATGTAAACATACAGTATCTTTTAGCTATTGGGAGGAGCTTTACATCCTAAAGTAACACTATCCATCTGTGGACCCAATACTGAACGCTGCCTGTGACCTCTGTAAGGAGGGACTAAAACTGACCCTATCCCAACATTTTAAGATTCAACACCAGACTTTTAAACATCTAAGAAAATCACATGGATAATGAGAATGGAAGCATTGATAGCTGCCATTACTGTTTTAATGGGCCAGAAACAAATACTAGCTTGGTTTGAATCCAGGGGACAAAGAAAAATAATGCTGCCAAGCATGCTTAAAATGACAAACTTAATATGCCAAGCATGATGATTATATAAATGAGAACTATGAAAAAACATACCATTTTCAAAAGTTTAACTCTTGCATAGAACAAAATCCACCTCAAAAAATTTGTTCCTCAGAAGATTTGATTTCTGAAAATAAGAGATCAAGCAAGAGAAAAAAGAATCAAATAAATGAAAAAAGACGCAAATTCAGAAGAAAAAGGGTTAATGTTTTGTTTCAGTCAGTGTTATACCAATGCCAGAATTACAAGGGAAAGACTAAAAAGAGCCAATTTTTTTTTCTTTATTATTATTAAAAAGAAAAAAATCATGCCTATCTGTCACAGGGTTGTCCGGGCTGGAAGAACCGGCAGGAACCTCAAATTCCTGACCAAACCCTCTTCCACACAATGCCTCCTGAATGGAAGGAACCGAGGCCCGGCAGAGATAGCCCCCTGTCAGGAACCAGCCCTGACGTTTGCGGACAGACGGGGCTGGCCTCGCAGGATGTCAGAGCAGCAAACTGCTGATCGAGATACTGGGTTTTCACACACTCCCAGCCTGGATGTTTTGCTCTTCAGGTAATTAAACAAGGAAACGGGGCTGATGTGTACGAGTCTGACCCCTGCGCCGCGGCTCCGCGGTTCTGCACATCAACTTCCGCACCAGCCGCCCCAAGCAGCGGCAGAGCCTTCTCCTGCTGCTCCTGCCTCCCCCGACACCAGGCTCCACAGCAAATCCTCCTGGAAATATCTGCTGCTATTCCCTCCCTCCCCCAACCCCAGTTTACGAAGGGCTACATGATTTGCTCTGTTCCACACACCTTGATTTCTCATTTAAAAAAAAAGAAGGGGAAAAAAAATGAAAGAAATGGGTACTTGGGTGTAGCTGTTCTTCAGCCTGCCATTCAAAATATTAAATTTACTGGGGGGAGGGGATGAACAGACAGAAAGATGAGGCAAGGGACTCCCAAATTAATGTTTAGTTTAAGGTCATTACTTAAAAAGATCCTGAAACATATTGCCAATTTGTCCAGCCAACAGCCAGACATGCACTTATTTAGAAATAAAATTATTCTGATTTAAGCATTATTGAATAGTCTTTGTCTTACAAGAGGACATAAATCATAGACCGAGGCATTAGAAAAATAGACCAGTGTTTTCTCTCTCTTTTTCCCTAAATTTCAGAAATGGGAAAGGGCAGGTGTTGCCACCTATACTTGGCAGAAAACCCTACACAGGGCTGCTCTGTGACTGACCCAGTTTCTATGCTCTTTAAAGGCTATTTAAACAAAAATTATTTTTAAAAAAGGTAACACATTCCTGCTTCTTTCTGAAAAATCCACAGAATAGAATATTGGCTGAAAAGAGAAGAGCCCAGAAGAAAGAGGAGTACAAAAGCATGCCTGCTTGTCTGTGTTCAACACAAAGAACATTAAATGAAAACAACTGGCATGTTGCCAAATTCCTATACAGGCAAAGAGATTCAAATAAATTGATTTCACGCATCACACTGACCTGGGATCAGTGAGCAGTGGTACAATACACTTGCTGCTCCATGTGGGGCAAAGCCCATTAATGTTATCAGAGACACATTACATTGAGGGGGAGCAGGGAGGGGGGGCACAGAGAGGGAACCCAAACTCTGCAAATTCAGGGGGAAAAAAATCACTTTGAAGAAGCAACTTGAACTGGAGTACTTGGTTTCAGTTTACTAATAAATATATCATATTGCAAGAGCTTGTCCTCTGCTCACCTCAAAGGTTTCAAAGACCATATTTTCAAATTAAAATAAATACTAATGTCAAACACACACATTCTCCTTACAGTCTACTTTTAACACAGTTGTTCTGAAACTCACTTATTCTCTGTAAATTTCCTCCCTTCCCCATCCGCTAGTATTTTATATAGATTATGGGTTATTTTCTTTGTACTTCAAAAGCTGGATTTTTGCCCAGGATTCTCTTACTGGCTCAGAAAGCAAGCTGGAGAAATTGGCCATGCTCTCAACTGGCCCAAATCAACCTGACCTAGAGAGAAAAACGCTTTATTTACAAGGTAGCACCAAGCAGGGCACCAGTGTCCTTTGCAGGTCACCCACATATGCTCCCACATACCAGGGAGCTGTCTCCAAAGCAGTATTTCAAATTTCACTTTCTTACTAATGTGAAGTAACTCATATTTGCCGTGGAGTCTCTCCTTGTCATCCTGGCTTTGTTTTTCATTAAGCTCTCTCACACTCCAATCAAGAGCAATGCCAGCAAGCCACAGGTGTGCACCACATGAACAGATGAAATTCTGATTGGAAGTACAATTCTCTGTCTGTAATACAGTTGCATACTCTTTTGCATCTGTGGTATGTTTGAAGGGGACTTTATTATTTCCATTGTACTCCTTAAGATACATTGGTAAGCAAACAATTGTTTTGAAGATAAAAAAGGAAGCCAAGAGAAGATGACTTTGCAATAGCAAAACAAAGATGAGGATGCTTGAAAGGGGTCACATCAGCAGAAGTAGTCATTGCTACAAGAGGCCATTGCTTCAAGGAGGCAATAAACTCAAAACACCTTTTTTTTTTTTTTTTTTTTTTTTTGCATTTTACTCCATTTAGGCTCCAAATAGCAAGTCAAATCTTGGGTACAGTAAAGTCCATATTAAGTTAAGCTCAGTGTTGGCTTCATCTCTAATTATTTAAAACTGAAATTTAAAACAAAAAATCATTGAAAATGTGGAGCTTCTTAGCCATTTAAGACTAAAATTTCTGAGCATGTCACAAATACATCCAGATGTAGACACCTCATCCAGTCACCTCGATTCAAGTAAATGTCAAAATGGGAATGGCCAAAGATCTAAGAACTGTTAACCACCACTGATCACTCTCTAAGAGCTACAAAGCAGTTTTGAATTCTTCATTATCAAGGTGAAAACTATACAATATTGTTAACTCTGTAAGAGGCGTCACAGAGAGATGTGTTTATTTAGGTATAAGGCTACAACTGATAGAACTGCACAGTGAAGGGAATCATCCAGCACACAGCAACCTCACCGTGGCAGAGATGTGCCTGCGCCCAGGCAATACAGAGAGCACAACCCCCACAAGAGTGAACAGGAGGGACAAGGTGCTGTTCCCTCCCTATTATGAACACTTCAGCAACCATCAGATCAGTTGGACTTTACAGAGATGATGTGAATTTTAGTCATATTAATTCCCTTTCTTTAAATTAATGGTATTAGAAAATAAGCCCTTTTCCCAAGTTGTAGGAAATTTCCATTATCCTGCACGTGCTCTGACAGCAATAAACCACAATAAACTTCCCATTAGTATGCCAGCACTGCATGCTTCAGGCATGACATCTTTACTTTTACATTTATTTATTTTTTAAATCCTTTATGAAGACCCATATGGCAAAAGAAACCAACCAACAGCCACCTGTATAGGCTACATGCGCTTTGAAAAACAAGACTGTAGATAGTAAAAAGAAGAAATTAGTCAGAAGCTATACACTGCTAAATAACCAAAATCCAAGCATAAGAAGAAACCATGCTAAGATCAGAAACCCTGCAGATTCATTCTCTTCCAGTGCTGCCTGAGTACATGAAGGTCCCATAAAAGCATTTATTTGTTTTAAACTGAGCTAGGAACTCAAGTTAGAATGCAACTTCATTGTTATTAGGATTTAATTTTTTTAAAGTATGGCCACACTGGTGCACAAAACCTCAGGCCTAGCCCTTGCCACAAGGTGACGTGCTGAGGCTCCCACTGGCTCTTTCAGCTGCTCTCCATCTCTCTACACCCACAGGCAGAGCAGCACGGTGTCTCAGGTGGGAAAACAAGTAATATGATCAAGGCTGAGCTACCTTTAAAACTATCCAGGGCAAAGCCAAGAGTACTCAGACACCATTCATCTTATTTTGGTACCATACTCTATCATTATGTCAGGAGCCAATATGGTCCAACACTGAGAAAAAAAATTGTCCAAGTGTTGGAAAGCACTTAAAATCAGTTTAGCAGTTGCTTGCCATCCAGACACACACCATTTTAGAAGAAAAAATGTAGTTACAGTAAAGACAGGAATGACTGTCATAGGACATCTAGAAATTTTGTCCAGCAACAGCAGATTTACTTTTCTAGTATGGTAAGAATCTTAGCACACAAGAAGCAGAAATATCCATTCTCATTATTATCTCAATCAAATTTACCACAGATTCCCAGCGTGTTGCAATGAGTTTACCAGAGGATTCCACTAAATTACAAAGAACCATTTTTCCAATTTACAACTGTCTCTTAACCAGGCTGCAAATGCTATTCCGATTCAGAGTTCAAAAACTGAAAGTCACTATTTCCATAACCCAGCCTAGTAATATTGACGTGACACACAAAGAGCAACTATGTCATTAAAAACACAAAAATAACCCCAAAGTTAAAAATTTCACATATACGTATTTAAGATTTTAGAAAAGTCAAGACTGATGTGTTTTATTAGCATGGCAGTACTCTTTTCTCACTTGTATTAAACGAGGACAGCACCTTCATTGATTTAGGCAGACTCTTTGGAGCTAAAGGGAAAGATTTCTTTTTCAATTACAGTTTACAAGGCAAGGTACAGTCATATACACACGAATAACTTCTACAAGGTATGCACATTATAAAATCAAATATTTTTCTGTTCCTTACCTTGACAAAATTCAAAGTTCCCTTTTTTCCGGCAGTCACCTATCACTAAACTCAGTGCTCTCCAAGTGTTTCTTTTGACAGATATCATTCTCCACCAATCGCTGTGCTAATTTCCTCTTTCCTTTTCTGACTGGGACAGATACTATGTTCACCAGCCCAGAGATCAATCTTTTCTATTGACAACAACAAATGAAAAAAAAAAAAAAAAGGCATATATCACAGCCAGTTTGAAGCACCACACCCCTTCATTTACTTGATAATAGTAGCCTTAAATAAAAAGGTAAGACAGAAATATTATTCTAAACCAAGTAACCACATTTTCTTAGCTAATATAAGGTAGTACTTTAAAACTGTATTAATTCTTCAACAAAGGTAGTTTCATAATTCGCTCAGTTGCTCAGTTAGAACAGCTGACATACAGAAGGCAACAAATTAAGGGCAGCCTCTATTCTACCCATTAGTTAATTCTGTAAAAA